CCAGTAAAAAAAAAAAATGTAAAAATCAAATTTAGTCATACATTTCTGCCAAAATGCATTCTGCGACATGTCTTTGCTAAAGAAAAAACCCAATACGTGTAAATTAATTGGTTTACGTGAACGTTATAGCGTTTACAAATGGCGGGAAAGATACTGGTATTTTAAATTTTTTTTATTATACTAATAATGGCGGCGATCAGCGACTTATGGCGGCGATCAGTGACTTATGGCGGCAATTAGCGACTTATGGCGGGACTGCGGCGGACATTCTGACACTGGGGGGGAACTGACTTGGGGTCGCTGACATCCCCAGTGACACCAATACAGTGATCAGTGCTAGAAAAAAAAAAAAAAACACTGACACTGTACTAATGGCACTGGGGAGGAAGGGGTTAACTTTATTATTCAGTGAAAGGGTTAACTGTGTGAGGGTAGTGTTTTACTAGGGGTCGGGGGTGTGTACTGCACTGGGGACAAGCTGATCTGGAGAGATAAACTCTTCTCTCCGGCTCAGCATGTCAGTAGCTGTCAGGGAATTGACAGAAAGCACAGCTAATGCAGCTGTGTTCTCTGTCAGTGATTGCCGCTAATCGCCGACCGGTAACGACCGGCTGTGACCCAGCAACTGACATTCGCGGCCATGATCGGCGGGACAGGTAGAGCGGCGGCGCGCCTCGCACGCGCCCCCTTCCTGTTTTGAGAACACACGTTTTAAAACGTGGTTTTGCCCAGCCGTGCCGCCCTGCCAACGTATCTCTACAGTGGCTGGGCGGCATGTGGGTAATACATTTCTATAAATAAGAAAATCAATTATTTTGCACATAGAGTGAAGATCCTAGAACGAGACACTAGATTTTACATTTAGGTTTTTATTGCCATTTCTGCAGTCTTTGGGAGATTTTCCCTGTGTTGTCACCAAGATGTTCCAATTTCCTGCAGTGTCACCAGCACAGAAAGTGAGGTGAAATCTCTCCTACAGTGACTCTCCCCTTCTCCACTCTAGCTAAAACAAATGACATTTTTTGAGCTCAAGTTATTTTTTACCAAGTAAATTATGGTTCCAGCCTCTAACGTGGTTGTGGCTGACACATCTCAGAACTTCAGCGTAATTTTGCATCCTTTATCCTGGATATTTTAACCTGTATTTTTTGTATTCATTTACCATGTTACGTCCTGATGCTGGCTAAGTTGCTTGTTTCATCTGCATAACTCAACCAGCATCAGTGGGCCTTTATTTGCAATGAATGTATTTGTGTTATCATTTTTTTACTTCTCTTATCTCTCCTATTTTGTCTCAGGCCAGCCCACCTTGCTGCTTACTCTTATTTTCACAATGTGGAAGGTGTATACATCCTTTGACCAAGTGCTAGGGGCAATGGAAGCTTTGTGCTTGTTATAATAGTAATGTTGCCATCTGTAAACATTGGATAAGATGTGTTCTTCCGGAATCTTTGTATTGTTTAAATTTAAAAAAAAAAAAAAAGATTACATGAAAACAAAGTAACTTATGGGACTGTCATGTGCGGGGATATTATTATGTTCCAACTTTTGGATATACAGTTTAAAAATGTGTTCATATAGAAAATATACAACAATCCAAAAATCAAATTGAAATACCTGTTTGGCCCACATTAGGGGATCTGGCTGAATAGCCCATGGGCACGTTGCCACTCCACTCTGGCTGATAGCACGTTTGATCAGTCCCACGTTGTATGGAGTCAGGGTCTGTGACACACAGAGGAAAATGAGTAAGAACAAATGTATTTATTAAGATAAAAGGCAGTGTGCAACGTGCAATAACCCAAACTACCCAATCAGAAATAATGTCTTTCCTTATCTGAGTGCAGTGTAACCTTAAATGATATGGGTTACTTGATTGATACAAGTTACTGCAAATTGCATATGATCACTGCTCTTGCTGTTTTCTTTCAGGCTCTCTCTCTTTAATTAAATCTCCATACAGCTCTGTAAGGCTGATGAGCGGAGTCTTTTCTCTGACTCATCTAGCTGTGGGTACATTTGAGCTTGAGCTGATGAGCTCTGTAAACAACAGAACGTTTATGGTTTCATGATAACATTAAAAAAAGCTTAGAGCGCCAACATCTAGTTGAAATTGTAAATAGGAAATATTATTCCCATATTGGTTGTGCAACAAGCAAATTTGAAGCATTATTGCTATTGCCATGCTTAAAAGCACATTGTTTGCTGAAAATTGGAAATCTTGATGGGGAAATATTATTATGAAAAAAATGCATTTGTATCCCTTAACATAATTAATAATCATATACAAAATCATAGGTTGGCATTTAGTGTGTGCAGAGAAGGGTCTACTCAGTATTTTGAATATTGGGCCACCATAAGATGGCCATAAATCAGAAGCAGGGCTATTTTAGAAACTGTAGCAGGTTCACTTTAAAGCCAAACAGGCCCACAGGTCTCCAGCACCACCAAGGAGGTGAGAATTTCAGCAACGCAAGCTGGCCAGTTTATTTTTTATTTTCAAAATAGTTTAGTAGGGCTTTAACCACTTGAAGACCAAGCCTTTTCTGACACATTTTGTTTGCATTTAAAAATCAGTATTTTTTTGCTCAAAAATGAGTTAGAACCCTCAAACATTATATGTATTTTTAGTAGAGATCCTTGAGAAAAAAATGGCAATTTTTGCAGATTTTTTGTCACTCAGTATATGCACAGCGGTTTTTCAGCGCTTATCTTTTTTTTTTTAAATACACTTTAAAGAATTTTTAAAAATGCAATATATAACCCACTCTTTTTGTAGAATTTGAAAAATTATGTTATGCCGAGTAAGCTGATACCTAACATGTCATGCTTTATAATTGCGCATACTTGTGCAATGGTGCCAAACTAGGATACTTAAAAATCTCCATAGGCGACATTTTGAAAGCCTTGACAGGTTACCAGTTTAGAGTTACAGAGAAAGTCTAGTGCTAGAATTATTGCTCTTGCTATAACGTTTGGGGCAATACCTCACATGTGTGGTGCGACCACTGTTTTTATATGTGAGCATGACCTATGTGTTCGCCACTGCGCGCAATAAAACTGGGTGCTTTACATTTTTTTTTGTCTTTATTTATTTTATGACTTATATTTTTACACTCTCCCTTTAAATTTTTTTTGTATCACTTTTTTTGCCATCAAAACAAATCTCTTGCGATAACAATATACCATCACAGGTCCTCTTTATGGAGAGATATGGAAAGAAAAGCATTAGATAAAAAAAAACAAAAACAAAAAACATTGATCTAATGCTTTCCTACATTCAGCCAGAATCAGTCTTACAGGTCATAAAGATTAGCGGAGGCCATCTTTCCTCAGCTAATCTCTGTATCCAACTGCTGTATCAGTTCCCGGGCTGGCAGGTAAGCCTGAAAACCACCAGAAACCAGCAGGAGAGGGGGCAACCCCTCCTACTGCTTCCAAAAGTGATCCATCGGCTAATCAGCTGTAACCCCAGTATGCCAATTCACGAACGCTGCGTATATACACTATATTGCCCAAAGTATTGCGACGTCTCTCCAAATAATTGGATTCAGGTGTTCCAATCACCTCCAGGGCCACAGGTGTATACAATCAAGCACCTAGGCATGCAAACTGCTTCTACAAACATTTGTGAAAGAATGGGTCGCTCTCAGGAGCTCAGTGAATTCAAGCGTGGTACAGTGATAGGTTGCCACATGTGCAATAAGTCCATCTATGAAACTCCCTTGCTGCTAAATATTTGACAGTCAACTGTTAGTGGTATTATAACAAAGTGAAAGCAACTGGTAACAATACCAACTCAGCTACAAAGTGGTAGGCCATGTAAAATGACAGAGCGGGGTCAGCACATGCTGAAGCACACAGTGCGCCGAAGTCATCAACTGTCTGCAGAATCAATAGGTAAAGACCTCCAAACTTCTTGTGGCCTTCATATTAGCACAACAGTGTATAGAGAGCTTCATGGAATGGGTTTCCATGGCCGAGCAGCTGCATCCAAGCCTTACATCACCAAGTGCAATGCAAAACTTCAGATGCAGTGGTGTAAAGCACGCTGCCACTGGACTCTACAGCAATAGAGACATGTTCTCTGAAGTGACAAACCACGCTTCTCTGTCTGGCAATCCGATGGACATGTCTGGGTTTGGTGGTTGCCAAGAGAACGGTACTCACCTGACTGTATTGTGCCAAGTTTAATGTTTGGTGGAGGAGGGATTATGGTGTGGGGTTGTTTTTCAGGGGTTGGGTTTGGCCCCTTAGTTAAGGCGTCAGCATACCAAGACATTTTGTCAATTTCATGCTCCCAACTTTGTGGAAACAGTTTGGGGATGGCCCCTTCCTGTTCCAACATGACTGTGCACCAGAGAAAAAAGCAAGGTAAAGACATAGATGAGTGAGTTTGGGGTGGAGGAACTTGACTGGCCTGCACAGAGTCCTGACCTCAACCCGATAGAACACCTTTGGAATGAATTAAAGCAGAGACTGCGAGCCAGGCCTTCTCGTCTGACATCAGTGCCTGACCTCACAAATACACTTCTGGAAGAATGGTCAACCATTCTCACAGACACACACCTAAACCTTGTGGACAGCCTTCCTAGAAGAGTTGAAGCGGTTATTGCTGCAAAGGGTGGGCCAACTCAATATTGAGCCCTACGGACTAAGACTGGGATGCCATTAAAATTAATTTGCGTGTAAAAACAGGCCGACCAATATTTTTGGTAATATAGTCTATATGTATTGCGGTCTTGAAGTGGTACCTATGGACATGAGGTGCTCATTTTTCAGAAAAAATGCATTTAGAATGGTTGTATGTATAAGTTAGGGCCTGCTTCAATGGACTGTTGTTCGTTGGGTTGTCAGATGGGTTTTGCATTTCCATGCAAGTCTATGGGAATGTAAAACCCGCTTAAAGCAGGTCAAAAGCACCCATGAATGATTTCTGAATAATCTCAGAAGAGCCTCAAAATAATGTCAAACTAATGCTATTGACACAAGCCCAAAGCTCACTGACACAGGCCCTCAGTTACCTGTAAAGAGACACTGGCGGCTCCAGCTGACTCTCCAAAAATGGTGATGTTGTCGGGGTCACCTCCAAAGGCCACAATGTTCCTCTTCACCCATGCAATGGCGAAATGCTGATCCCACAGACCATAGTTTCCTATTGAGGAACAACACAGCGTTTAGGCAAAGCAATGTGTAGGGTACCCCATTAAATGAATTGCTTTTCCATAAAAATAGCCATTACATGCATCACTTTTCAGAGAATCTAATAACTTTCACCATGAAAGTACATCTGTAACTTGGGTACATGTATTCAGTATGAGAGCTATATCGCATTTTCTGTCTCATTTTACACTTCAGAAGATACATGAACAATGCAATGTTAGTTTTTCAAGAACTGAATCATTTGGCTTTTGTGACTGCTGTGTCGAATGGGCAGAGCTGGGAATTTTGGTGGAGTTTTGTTGCCACTGAAGTCCTCAAGAGAAAAAATAATATATTAAGAGTATATTATACGATTATTATAAATTGCAAAAACCACAATTGTGAGTGGAGTTTCTAATGACTTGTTCATTTGGTACAATTTTTAGCTGAGAGACAAATCCATCCATGGCAAATAAGGCTGTCTATAGTATAATTAAATAAAAATATAGATAGCCATGCCAAATACCGAATTTCACCCTCCCCTGGATGCTGTCTTACTATATCCACCATATGAGAATACAAGTCTCAATCAAGTGTACTTATTGACACAAAGTCAAGGGTCTGCTAACTTAGGCTCCTCCACTAAAGCATTTCACTCTGCAATATAGCTTAGTCGTAGAATGGCAGAAGACCAGGCAGCTCACTTATTTTCACAATTAGTAAAAAATATAAAATAGGTGTAAATATGGTACAGAATGACTAAGAGCACCTTATTGCTATCTGTGTGAATTTTGTTATCACTTTCTGTCCCCATGACACAGCAATAACATAAACAAGAAAAAACTCTTCAAACAGAGGTTCTAACCTCATTACTCTACTGAAATGTTTCTATCTGTCTTTTTCTTGGAGGGGGTTCTGCTCACTTTCTGGCTTGAGGACACAACAGGTCATTATTTAAACTACAAGACCTTTTGCCTAGATTTTCTCTTTAATTAATGAAAATGATTACCTGGAGCATTCTCATCCCCTGTGCTCAGAAATCCTAGTGGACCCACGCGATAGTTCAAGGTCACCACAATAACATTGCCTCGGACTGCCAGCTCTTCTCCATCATACAGGTAATTGTCAAGAAAACTAGCTCCTTGTCCTCCTCCAAGCAGAAACCCTCCACCATAAATCCAGACCATAACAGGGAGATTTGTAGACACTGGACAGGAAACAAAGAGCATTAAAGAGAGATGAAATGGCTATTAAGTAGCTTTCGATGCAGGGTTGCCCATAAAATATCAGAGTCATTTTCGTGTGTTTTTCACGATTTTCGCTTTTCTGCATTAAAACTAAATGATGCACAAACAAAACAAAAAATATACAGTATATAACACCATAGACATTGAAAAAGATAAACAATGAGGCTACTATACTGTACGTTTGCTATTCAGTGGGGTTGATTTCCTAAAGGCAAATAAACTGTACTTTAGAAGTGCAGTTACACTCATTTTCCCCAGAGCTTAGTGAATATGATGCAGCTCTGCTGATTTCCATCATTCATACACATAAAAGTGATTGGATGATGGAAAAAAAAATGCTGGTTTTTGTTTTTATTTTCCTTGCACCTGATTGGGTATTCTTTTTTTTTTCCCAACAGGCCATGGTACACTTGAGTTCCTGTCACTGGTGACAACTCAACAGCAACAGTATCACTGCAAAGGGCAGAAAAGCTATTATCTGTTTGCATGATGTAGCTCTCATTCTAGCTAGTCGAGAAAGGTTTCACTTCTTTGTTGGCATGTGAATGCAATGTCATTCCCTTTCCACCACTTGCTGACTATATATAAGGATTTGTTCCTTTGCTGATGAAAATGCAGCAGAATCTCTCTCACTAGTATAGGGATGACGACTCACTTATCCAGCCAACAAAAGAAAGGCTATAACACTTTGGTTATTCAGCCAGCAAGGGAGTAACAGCTTACTCATCCAGCCAAGGAGGTAGTGATGCCTTGCACATCCAGCCAGTAAAGGAGTCACTGCTTTCACATCAAGGCAGTATAGGAGTGAAGTCTTCTTCATCCAGCCAGGGAGAAAGTAGCAACCTTTCTTATCTGACCAGCAAGGAATGGGCAACATAAAAAAAAAAAAAAAGTTGGGGGTCATACTTTCCTGCCCTGTATAGGAAGCTGGTGAGTTGCCTCCAGCAACAGGATTTTCACTGTGATATTTACTATTGTATTACCCCAACAAGAGCAAATGTCTGAGCCCCCCCCCCCACCCCACAAAAGGGCACACCAAGGTTGGAGGTAGAAAAGCTGAAGGAAATCATTTGCCCATACTATGTCAGTAATGCCAAGAACATACAGCTAGAAGAGCGAGGCATACTGTCACCCTATTCTGCAAGCTTGGTGTACAGAGCCACAGTGGGAAAACTGTAAGTACACAGTACACCACTGCACCAGCAAAAAGCACAAGCAGGACTGGGCAGGAACAATGAGGACCCAAGTGGATGGCACTGGCAGTCAAGGCTGCAGTGTGGAAGTTTTTATTATAGTAATAGAAAAGGGGGGAAAGTGTCCCAGTATTCCAAATAACAGCTTTTATAATTCTTGAAGGAAATTAAACTACACCTATCAACTACTGCAAAAAGCTAAATTCCCAAATGGAAATACAGCTTATTAACCAGGAATAACAATCATGATTAAAAATATATAGTTTTAATGTTAAAATATGCAAAATAGAGGTACTTTAAACACCTGAAACTACTTAAAAATGCTGCTCCTATATGGCATGCATGTGAATATGCATCATATTGCTCCATGTAATCAATACTGGTAAAGTATCAGTAGTCGGGTGCCATACAGAAATGCCAGCGTCATGCCACATGTTCCCTAATGTGTTTCCTCTGCATCAAAACTTCCTCAGAGGGAGCGTTGCATAACCTGTATTGACTTGATTACTAATGTTATAGCTCTGCCTGTCATGGGTTTCCAATCCAGACAAAAACATCAGTTTCAGCCAGCTGATGCCTATGCTTTACCTGCGTAATGAAGTGCATTCCACCATTACTGGAAACAAATGAGGGGAATAATTAACAATGTAACCTATAAATTCACCATTAGTGATGCGAGCCTTATACTGACAATAACTATGTATATGTTTATAGCGCTCACCCCCTAAAGAGCCCGCTGTTGAGGTCCTGAGGTGCTTTCCTAGTAGGTGCACTAGCAGCCAGGTACACTGGCACAGTAACTCTTCCAGCTCAATAATCAGTCTAGGGGTACTCTTTTTGATCTTTTATTGCAAAACTTTAAATTGGATGGGTGCAAGGTAACTGAGCGATACTCCAGCAAGGTTAAGAAGTAACTTTAGCACAGGAATCTTCCTCCTAAAGAATTTGAGCACAGTCCTTGCAGCAGCAGACAAATGGCTGAGCCACATTGGGGCACCATGAACCCCTTAAGTAATGCTGACACTAATGCAAGAGGGATAACAGTAGCACACAGTCATTGGGATGTTGGGATATCCTCACACTGGTCTGTACTCATGAATGTCCTTGGATAGTTGGATGCCTGCTTCCAATATCTTCCAGGCACTTCTCTTTCCAAGACTTCAGACCAGATTCCCAAAAAGAAGTTCCTCAGTCAGCTCCAGCAAAGTTCAGCAGAATCTCTTTCTCCTGGACAAGAACCCCACCAGACTATTTATGCTCCCTTCCAGCCACCATCTGGGCACCTCTCCCTTAGGAATTGGCTGGGATTCCATAAATATTCAACTGCTCATTTGACTCTCCCAGCCCACTTTCTTCCAGAACCCTCCAGAAAACAGGGGGAAGCAGTCAATCCTGCAGCCAGTGAAACACAGAACAGACCAAATAATTACATGCAGCTCAACTGATTACAGGAGAGCCAAGAACTAAATTTACCTAACATAGCACCTATCTAAGAGGATGCTACATGTTTCACAGTTCTTAATTGTTCTATAAATGTCAGTCATGATACATAAAATTACCAGTACCATAATACAATAGAGCTAAAAATGCAAAATTTAGATAATGATTACATATATTTATTAGATTTTTTATTTTAAAGTGGTTAGCCACCAAGCAAAATTAAGGGTTCTGTGGGGAAAAAATAAATTCCTAATGAATCCATTTTAAATATTTTCAACATATCATTATAATACAAAAGCAGGGCTTTTTTCCAGCTGGAACTTGGTGGAACTCAGTTCCACCACTTCTAGCTTAGGCCTTCTGCTCCCTGCTCACCACTATCACTTTTAAACACAGAATTCCAGCTTCTGTGTTTACAAGTGACAGCACATGTCTCCCACACATCTGTTCTCCTGAGCGGCTCCCATTGAGTGTAGGATGGGGGCAAGGGAAATGCAGGTATCCGGGGTACAGTGTGGATGCTGACACCCCACTGGATGATCTCCATGCAAGTGAAGGAGGCGGAACCACCTACAGTGTGCAGCAGAGGTACTAGGGCCAGCTGGGTGCTTCAGCTTAATATAGCAACAAAAGTAAGACATGTGGAAGATGGTGGAGCTTTTAAGGAGGGGGGGGGAGAAGATGGGGGGAGAAGGGGGGGGGGGCTCCTGCAGAGGACAGAGCTTAAGAGGGGTGAAAGTGAGATGTGGATGGAAGATACAGAGGTAAGCACCTGTGGAAGAAGGTTGCACTCTGTATGCAGCCCACCCCTGAACTCTGCACTCTGTATGCAGCCCACCCCTGAACTCTGCACTTTGTATGCAGCCCACCCCTGAACACCCCTGTAACACCCTCAAGACTGCACTGTGCAACCAATGCACTCCTGGTATTTCATGCCCCTTTAAGACCCTCCTGCTGTTAGTGAAATTGACCAAACCCACTATTTGATACAGTTTGAAGTGTGTGTGTTTGGGATGGAGGGGGGTTTTGGGGGGTCATGATTGAGTTCCCTCACCTATTTTCTGGGGGGAAAAAAAGCCCTGTACAAAAGTATTAAAGTCGAAGTGATATGCATTAAAAATTATCTATCTTGTACATTTTGAGCCCCAGCAAAACTTTAGGACATATAAAAAATGGATTTATGAGCAGGTTTGCTCACCCAGTTGGTATTAGTCATTTTAGTTGTTGTGTTATGGATAAAGCTAAGAGGATTCAGATCTGAAGACGAGTACTTTGTAATTAAGCAATACTGATCATGTTGTAAGGTGATGCTGTTTGATAATTTATTTTTTTTTTTGCATATGCAAATTATGAATTCCCATGTATGCCATACAGGATCAGCAAATTTACATGGTTTAAATGTTTTCTGGTAATTATGTGCAGTCTTTAAAATATAATTGTATAATTTTGTACTTGATTTTATTTGATGCAGCTTTTATATAGTTTTTATCCCTGGTAAGTATCTCAATTTGGAAATCTTTGCTTTTTGCCAATCTTTTCTATATATGAAGAAATGTATTAAAGATAGTGGTATGATATGTGGATGGCTGCGTGCTGTCCCTGGCAACCCAACCGCCCTAGGCTTCAGCCTACCTTGATTATAAGGAACTCTGGCCCTGTGTGTTTTCCATGTACTTTAAATGCACCATTTATCAATAAAGAAGATGTGCTTTGGATGCTTCAATAGCAGGGGCGGACTGACCATTTGGAAACTCAGGCACTGCCCGAAGGCCCGGGGTCAGTAGGGGGCCCCATGAGATGCCCCTGGTACCTTTTTCATAGGCTTTTTTGAGTTTGGGCAAGGACACAGGGGCCCCATGATCCCCTATTGCCCAGGGGCCCCATGAGTTGTCAGTCCGCCCCTGTTCAATAGGCAGGACATTTGAAAAAACTCCACACTAAAATACATACAGCACAAGAACATAGGCTAGAGCAGCTGTAGTCCAGTGATGATTGATTTAAGATAATCTCTAGGGTCCTTGCATACGACAGTGATGCATGAACACTGGATCTTCCTGCCAGAAAGTTTCTCCCTGTAAAAAAAAAAAAGAGTATACAGTGCATCCAGAAAGTATTCACAGCGCTTAACTTTTGCCACATTTTGTTATGTTAAGGCCTTATTCCAAAATGGATTAAATTCATTTTTTTCCTCAACATTCTACAAACAATACCCCATAATGACAACGTGAAAGAAGTTGTACATAAGTATTCACAGCCTTTGCCACGACACTCAAAATTGAGCTCTGGTGCATCCTGTTCCCACAGATC